GGTGCCCCCGGGGCTGGGCTCTTCCCGTCTGTGATCTCAGTAACGCGGGTGCTGCAGGGTGAGCCGTGTCTCCGTGTCCCCGGGGCTGGGCTCTTCCCGTCTGAGATCTCAGTAACGCGGGTGCTGCAGGGTGAGCCGTGTCTCCGTGTCCCCGGGGCTGGGCTCTTCCCGTCTGTGATCTCAGTAACGCGGGTGCTGCAGGGCGAGCCGTGTCTCCGTGTCCCCGGGGCTGGGCTCTTCCCGTCTGAGATCTCAGTAACGCGGGTGCTGCAGGGTGAGCCGTGTCTCCGTGTCCCCGGGGCTGGGCTCTTCCCGTCTGAGATCTCAGTAACGCGGGTGCTGCAGGGTGAGCCGTGTCTCCGTGTCCCCGGGGCTGGGCTCTTCCCGTCTGAGATCTCAGTAACGCGGGTGCTGCAGGGTGAGCCGTGTCTCCGTGTCCCCGGGGCTGGGCTCTTCCCGTCTGAGATCTCAGTAACGCGGGTGCTGCAGGGTGAGCCGTGTCTCCGTGTCCCCGGGGCTGGGCTCTTCCCGTCTGAGATCTCAGTAACGCGGGTGCTGCAGGGTGAGCCGTGTCTCCGTGTCCCCGGGGCTGGGCTCTTCCCGTCTGAGATCTCAGTAACGCGGGTGCTGCAGGGTGAGCCGTGTCTCCGTGTCCCCGGGGCTGGGCTCTTCCCGTCTGAGATCTCAGTAACGCGGGTGCTGCAGGGTGAGCCGTGTCTCCGTGTCCCCGGGGCTGGGCTCTTCCCGTCTGAGATCTCAGTAACGCGGGTGCTGCAGGGTGAGCCGTGTCTCCGTGTCCCCGGGGCTGGGCTCTTCCCGTCTGAGATCTCAGTAACGCGGGTGCTGCAGGGTGAGCCGTGTCTCCGTGTCCCCGGGGCTGGGCTCTTCCCGTCTGAGATCTCAGTAACGCGGGTGCTGCAGGGTGAGCCGTGTCTCCGTGTCCCCGGGGCTGGGCTCTTCCCGTCTGTGATCTCAGTAACGCGGGTGCTGCAGGGCGAGCCGTGTCTCCGTGTCCCCGGGGCTGGGCTCTTCCCGTCTGAGATCTCAGTAACGCGGGTGCTGCAGGGTGAGCCGTGTCTCCGTGTCCCCGGGGCTGGGCTCTTCCCGTCTGTGATCTCAGTAACGCGGGTGCTGCAGGGCGAGCCGTGTCTCCGTGTCCCCGGGGCTGGGCTCTTCCCGTCTGAGATCTCAGTAACGCGGGTGCTGCAGGGCGAGCCGTGTCTCCGTGTCCCCGGGGCTGGGCTCTTCCCGTCTGAGATCTCAGTAACGCGGGTGCTGCAGGGCGAGCCGTGTCTCCGTGTCCCCGGGGCTGGGCTCTTCCCGTCTGAGATCTCAGTAACGCGGGTGCTGCAGGGTGAGCCGTGTCTCCGTGTCCCCGGGGCTGGGCTCTTCCCGTCTGTGATCTCAGTAACGCGGGTGCTGCAGGGCGAGCCGTGTCTCCGTGTCCCCGGGGCTGGGCTCTTCCCGTCTGAGATCTCAGTAACGCGGGTGCTGCAGGGCGAGCCGTGTCTCCGTGTCCCCGGGGCTGGGCTCTTCCCGTCTGAGATCTCAGTAACGCGGGTGCTGCAGGGCGAGCCGTGTCTCCGTGTCCCCGGGGCTGGGCTCTTCCCGTCTGAGATCTCAGTAACGCGGGTGCTGCAGGGTGAGCCGTGTCTCCGTGTCCCCGGGGCTGGGCTCTTCCCGTCTGTGATCTCAGTAACGCGGGTGCTGCAGGGTGAGCCGTGTCTCCGTGTCCCCGGGGCTGGGCTCTTCCCGTCTGTGATCTCAGTAACGCGGGTGCTGCAGGGCGAGCCGTGTCTCCGTGCCCCGGGGCTGGGCTCGCAGGGAGCCGGCTCTAATGCTCATCAAAGGCCTAGTGCAATGCACGGCACAAGAGCAGCATTTACGCTGAGCCGTGCTGGGAGCTGGGGCTGCCCTGCATTTGGCAGGCCCAGGCCCGGGGGGAAGGGCAGGGAACGCTCCTTAGCTGAGGGGCAGCCTGGGGCCCGGGTCCTCTACTCAGCGCTGTCTCCCTTTGCTTTCAGGGGCAAGTTCGGCCTGTGGCTGGACGGGGACCTGTACCACGGGGGGAGCGACCCCTGCGAGACATTCGGCAACGAAAGCCTGGCGCCCCACGAGCAGTTCTTCATTCGGGACGTGGAGGTTTGGGCCTTGGCCTGAGCCCTCCGAGGCCCCGTTGGAGGCCGTGGGGGAGACGGTTCCGGGCAGCCTGGAAGCGGCTGCTGGCCACTCCCTGCCCACCGTGGCCACAGTCCCACAGCCCCCACGGCACAGAGGGCATGGGCAGCACAAGGGTATTCACCGGGGCTTGCTGGGCCCAGCTCCTGGAGCAGCTCACTGACCAGGAGCGGAGGGGCCTGCGCACGCACAGTCATTTGCTGCTTGTAACGAGCTGGGGCTGATCTCACCCCGCTCTGGGGGGGAGCGTCCGAACCGCCCACCGTGGCCACAGTCCCACAGCCCCCACGGCACAGAGGGCATGGGCAGCACAAGGGTATTCACCGGGGCTTGCTGGGCCCAGCTCCTGGAGCAGCTCACTGACCAGGAGCGGAGGGGCCTGCGCACGCACAGTCATTTGCTGCTTGTAACGAGCTGGGGCTGATCTCACCCCGCTCTGGGGGGGAGCGTCCGAACCCCACCTCTGCCTCCTGGTACCACCCTGGCTGCGCCTTCTCCCGTGGAGCCGTGGGGCCGTGCAGAGCCGAGGACTTGACCCAGCCTGCCCTGAGCCCACTAGGTATCTGCCCAGGCGGGGAGCCTGCAGCACGGGGGCGCAGTAGCTGTTGGCAACTCAGAGCCTGCTGTCTGCTGCTGCAGCGCTTCCTGCCTGTCACCCAGCCATGCCCTGTTTTCTGGGCCGGGCACCTTGGTGCCAACAGCCACCGATGTGAGTCCCATGCAGAGCAGCTGCACCCCCGACTTCCCACGCTGCGAACCAGCCAGGGCTCTGCTGTGCGCTCTCCTTGCCGGGGAGCGGGACTGCGCACGCCCCTGCTCGCACCCGGCTGCTGCTCTTCTCAAGTGGCAGGAATCGTTCCCGGCTCAGCTCAGACTGTGCATGGGAAGGCACGGGGCCCAGCGCTAAACACCCCAGCAAATGCAAGGTTGCCAGGCGGAACTGAACCGGCCCCAGCTGGCCCTTACTGCCTAAGCTGCTGCAGCCCCAGCTAAAAGCCAGCTGGCTCTCCGCTTCGGCTGGAAGAGCGCTCTCTGCGTGGCCTCTGCCGTGCGACCCGGCCCCCTGTGCAGCAGGGTGTGGGCTACACACGAAAGCACAGCGGCAGCAGGGGCGGTGAGGAGCCAGCCTGGAGCAGTCACAGCCCTGCCGTGCTGCTTGGCCCCTCGGTGCTCACTGAGCCATGGGTACCCCAGTGGAGAACATTCTCCCACCAGCAGGCCCCCCGGCCTTACACACATCGCAGCGCGAGGCCCCGAAATGAGGCGGCCTGCAGGGGTGGCAGGTGATTGGCCTGCTGCAGAAGGCCTATGCATCCCCTTCGGAGCATCGCTCCAGGGGGGCTGGGCTGGGACACGGGAGGGCCAGGGCCGCTGCGTTCTAGGCCGTGCGCCCAGTCTTGAACCAGAGAAATCTTTGCAGCGCTGCAGACACGACTGGGCAGCTTGGCTGGGCGCTCACGGCTGTTGAGATGTCCCAGCCCTGGGTTCATTCGGGGGGCAAGGAAGGAGGGTGGATTGGGCCCAGGCACTTCTTACCCCTCTCTGTCCCTGCCCAGGCAGAAAGCACTAAGCGCATCCACCCTCTGCCAGCAAGGGGGAGGGTGGCGTTTCTATTCATGCTGTACAGCCTGTGGCTCAACCAGGCATCTGGGACCCCCCTTGCCCCCACCTCAAAGTACAGCCTGTGCTGGGGCTGATTAGAAAGCCAAAGTCCTTCTGTATGGGGCCGAAGCCTGGTGCACGGGGCCCTGCAACCTGGCTGCCAAAACCCCACTTAGTTTGGGGCCCAGGGCCATTTCCTTGCCTGCAATCCCCCAATGCTGGCCCCAGCTCTTATATGCAGAAAGCCCCTTGTGGCACGGGGGGGCCTGTGGAGTTTTTATAGCGTGTGGGGTGTCAGTTCCCACAAACATGTGTGTCCCCCCGGTTTAAGGACTCACGTTGCAAGAGCGCTGGCCTCTTGGTGCTGTCTAGAAATGGAGCCCCAGAAGGGCTTTTGTCTGCACTTGTGTCCGTTGGACGATAAAGTCAGTGCAGAGAAACGAAATGATTTCTTTGGCTGAGGATGTATGGGGGCTTCCCAAATCTGCACCGTCCTTTGTGGGTGATGAATCTGAGGAGCTGTCCCGGATTGAAGTGTCATTAGAAGAGGTTTTGGAACAAATAGAAAAACTTAATGTTAACAAATCTCCGGGACCAGACGGCATTCATCCAAGGGTTCTAAAAGAACTCAAGTGGGAAATTGCTGAGCTATTATCTGTGGTTTGTAACCTGGCCTTTAAACCAACGTGACACCAATATTTAAAAAGGGCTCTAGAGGCGATCCTGGCAATTACAGACCAGTAAGTCTAACAAGTATCTGGCAAATTAGTCAAAAGAATAGTAAAGAATAAAATTGTCAGGCATGTAGACAATTTGTTGGACAAAAGGCAACATGGTTTCTGTAAAGGGAAATCCTGTCTTACTAATCTATTAGAGGTCTTTGAAGGGGTTAACAAACATGCAGACAAGGGGGACTCCAGTAGATATAGCGTACTTCTATATTTTAGAAAGCCTTTGACAAAGGCCCTCACCAAAGGTTCTTGTGTAAATTACATTGAGTGAAGATTCTTTCGTGGATTCAGAACTGGTTAAAAAACAGGAAACAAAGGGTAAGACTAACTGGTACAGTTTCACCCCAAGGGTCAGTCCTGGGACCAATCCTTTTCAACTTATTCATAAATGATCTGGAGAAAGGGGTAAGCAGTGAGGTAGTAAAGTTTGCAGATGATACCAAACTGTTTAGGATAGTCAATATAGAAGCAGACTGTGAGGGACTCCAAGAAGATCTCACCAAACTGAGTGATTGGGCAACAAAATGGAAAACGAAATTTAATGTGGACAAGTGTAAAGTAATGCATATTTGAAAAAATAACCCCAACTATATGTACGGTATGATGGGGGCTAATTTGGCTACGCCAAATCAGGAAAGAGATCTTGGAGTGATCGTGGATAGTTCTCTGAAAATTTCCACACAGTGGTCAAAAAAGGCTGTTAGGAATTAAGAAAGGGATAGAAAATAAGACCCAGAGTATCTTACTGCCCCTGTATAAAACTATGGTATGCCCACATCTTGAATACTGTGTACAGATGTGGTCTCCTCACCTCAAAAAAGATATTTTGGCCTTGGAAAGGGTTCAGAAAAGGGCAACTAAAATGATTAGGGGTTTGGAACGGGTCCCATATGAGGAGAGGCTAAAGTGACCAGGACTTTTCAGTTTAGAAAAGAGGAGACTGAGGGGGGATATGATAGAGGTCTATAAAATCATGAGTGGTGTGGAGAGGGCGGATAAAGAAAAGTTATTTAATAGAGAAACCAGAGGACACCAAATGAAATTAATAGGTAGCAGGTTTAAAACTAATAAAAGAAAGTTCTTCCCACAGGGCATAGTCAACCTGTGGAACTCCCTACCAGAGGAGGCAGTGAAGTCTAGGATTATAAGCTGTCTCTACACTGGCACCCTTTTCTGTAAAAGAGATGCTAATGAGACACTTTGGAATTGCAAAGTAAGAATAAGGGATCTTTTGGAAAAGGGCTTATTTTCCCCAAGATCCCGTCTAGACTGGCGCTTTTCTCCGGCAAAATCCCAAGCCGGAAAAAAGCGGCAGCCATGTTCATGCAAATGCCACGGGGGATATTTAAATCCCCTGCAGCATTTGCAATTCCGAAGTGTCTCATTAGCATCCCTTTTATGGAAAAGGGGGCCAGTGTAGACACAGCCTACGAGTTTAGAGGGAAGCTAGATAAATTCATGGAGGTTAGGTCCATAAAAGGCTATTAGCCAGGGGGTAGAAACAGTGTCCCTGGCCTCTGTTTGTCAGAGGCTGAAGACAGCTGGCACAAGATAAATCACTTGATCATTGTCTTCAGTCCACCCCTTCTGGGGCACCTGGTGCTGGCCACTGTTGGCAGACAGGCTACTGGGCTAGATGGACCTTTGGTGTGAGCCCATGCAGCCAGTCTTATGTGTTCAATGCACTTCCTCCAAGAGGCAGGATGAGCTCATCCCACTCTTCCCTTCCCATCCCCATGCAGATTAGAAATGGGTCATCTCTTGTTTTTGGCTTCACCTTGCTTAATCTCATTGAGACAGAAGACAGAGTGAAGAGATGGCAGCCATGCACTTTTGTAATACAGTAATGGCCTATACCCTCAACTTGGTTCAACAGCGTGACACTTGAGGCTCAGGCCCCTGTCTTTCTATACCAGCAAGCCTGAGTACATAGCCAGAGGGTAGGGAAGGAGAAATGGGGCTGGCCGGGATTGTGCACTGCCCAGTGAGGGCATTAGCGCTAGCTACAACTTCAATACCTCTCACTGCTGCTTCCAGATACGTCTTCCAGACCAGACCATCCTAAGAAAACACAAAGCAAGAAGAATCTAAAAAGCCCAAGTTACCAGGGAAACAGCTAGGCTGGTACCCGTGACAGGAGAGACAGTATTGGGTCTACAGGGAACAGCCATGACTGAATTGAGCAGGATGTCAGACAAACATTAGCCCTAGTTGGGTGCACTCTCATGCGGCACAGGCCTAGCACTCACCATTACCAATACAGTCATTCATTAATCCTCATGAGCACCTTCTCAGGTCTGGCAAGCTCCCCTTTTTCTGACAGGCCCTGAGGATGGAGGATAGATGGCTCTAGCAGTAGGCATTTGATCCAGGTGTTAACAGCATTGGGAAGCAGGCTGCAAGGCAGACTTAATTTGGATTTATCTTTACAAATTTGGCCATTGATGATCCGGGTAACAGCACTGTAAATAATGAATTATGGTTGCTACTATGACAATTGCTGTGTTACGGAATCTTCTGTCTGTAAATGTGGACTCCACTGTGGGCTAACAGCACATAACGTGCACACAGACAACGGAGAGTAGTCAACAACTATGCTGACCATACAATGAAGCTACTAAGAGGGGGAGAGGGGTGGCTGAAGCTAGAACCAGTTTTCTCCAAACCTTTATGGTGAGTGGAAAATTACCTACAGCAGAATGAAGAAGCCAGGTGCTGGCTGGATGGACAAATCTGAGAGACTCTCAGCACAAGTTTTGAGCAGAAGCGGTTGATGTGGTTTAGCTACAGGACAACCGAGGTGCAAAGATAGAAACTATTTTAAAAAATAACCTGTTGTCTCACCGCCTGGGAATAGAGCCAATGCATCTCTCCCCACAGGAACATTTCTCAAGTATGAAGGGCAGAGGAAACGGATGGAAAGAGTAATTAAACATTGGGCTCCCTTAGCTGAGAAATAGACTTGCTTTAGCAATGAATGTGTGCCTTTAAGAAATGCACTTGACATTTTTCATTTTAACTGTGCATTAATTGTATTTAATACAAACAATCCATGTTGCAATACCATTAAAAGTTATAAAAATATATGTATACATTCTTTGTCAACTCAGGGCTCAGTTTGAACTATTTAAAAAAAAATCCAGCTCGGAGGTACAGTACACCTCTCAACAGTTTCAAATAAGCAAATACCTTGAAGTGTGATCTGTGAAATTAATAATTATTCTGCATGTAATATCTCCAATTGCCTCGAATCACGGGATTTTACCACACTTGCTTCACTGAGTCTGGTGAAGTCAAGTACAAAAGGCTTATCCCAGAGCGGTTACATCTGCGCTTCACAAGTCGGTGAAGATTCCTGGTAACAACCTTGTCATACACTTGGAGATCTGAACCACTGGTAGTGCACTGAAGGGAGGGTTTACCCCTCCTCTGGTGGCCACGTTGGCTAGTGCATACAGAGAACTGCAGAGTTATGGCACAATCGAATCCCTTGCCTCCATCTGGGCACTATCAAATGCCATTGCTAGCAGGGACAGTTAATGTTATATAAACACAGCTAGTGTCTCCAGACCTCATTGCACTGATTTGAGATTCAGACCCACTAATGACCAATGTCTGACTCCTGAAGCCAGAGTTCATTTGTTTTCTTCTTGTTTCAGATACTACTTTAAAAAAAGGACACAGGCAACTTAAAAATCCCATTTCTGTACGTTTTACAGAACCGCTAAGTGAAACATTGGAGAAAAATCTGCCTAATTTGTTTGGCTTGTGTATTGGACAGCCACCCGTCGGAAGTCAAATCAGTCCCCATCCCATTTGTGCTGTATGAAAAGAACCAAAAGAAAACATTTAAATTACAGGAAAAAGTGACTGTAAAGCCACAAAAACAATAGAAAAAACAAAAAAAGCTACATCTCACTGAGGCACTTTTTCACTTCAGCAAGGCTTAAGAAATCTGAGCTAAATGCTTTGCTCTATTAGAAAATGGGACATCACAATTACCTTAAAAGTAAGGAATATGAAGTAGGAGACAGGAAAAAAAACCGAGACGCTCTAGTCAATTTTCTCTATGACATTTGCTTCAGTAAAGGAAGGTGGGCACTCGCTGCTCACAGTTCTCTGATTTTAAGGAAGTCAAAACTGCTGAAGTGAAATGCTAGCTCTACTCCAACAATGGTGAAACATTAATTTTCTACATTTAGGATCTTTCAAAGGCCTTCATTTTGAAAAGTGCTCTTGCTACACAGCCTCAATACTCTTATAGCCTTCAAGTCAAACACTAGAACAGCTGTTTCTGTTCTGCTGCAAGTCATCACTGGTCACTATATAAAATTCCCCTTTGAACATCAATACACGTAAAGCTTTTAAATCACTATTGTACACATACAGCATCTTAAAATATGCAGTATTATAAATTTGCTCTGTAAAGCTTTTCAGGTAGGTTTATAAAAGTGTGCTGTTCCCTTTCAAGTATTTTTAAAGGGCTAGAAGGAACAGTATAAAACTGTTCCTGGAAAGACTTTAAATATTACAAGTAAACACCATTTAACAAATGAGTTATTGAAAGAGTCTGGTTCTGGATTTTGAAGCTTCCCTGCAGTCATTTGGACTTTGCAGTTCATCTTCCTCAGGGTCATTCCAGCTTGGTTTCATTGGAGTTAGTTCTGGGGCGACCACATCACCATCCTAGAAAGTCATTCAAATGAAGCTGAGAAAAGGTTAAGTTTTACAGGCACATTCTTACTTCATAATTTGTCTTATTGTAGGAAACAGCAGCTCACTGTACAAACAGAACAAAACCAAGCAGCTCAATTTTAGGCTTATGAACAGAAAGGATGAAAACTGAGCCATAAAAGGGTGAGACTCTGCTAAAAAAACGTACCTGAACAATATGGCTGGTTCCCAAAGCTTGGTCACCAGGAAGTTGGTGAGCCAGAAAACACTTAGTGTATCATCACATCAAGTAAGCCCAGTTACCATCCCACTGTCCATAACAAATGGCCACAACAGAAAGTGTACAGCACCCTGGCAAACCCATGGCCTGGGCCACCCACATTCAGTTTTACAGACCTGGCCATGTTTCACCCACCCCTTGAGACACACTATGGTGTAATGAACGGTTGTGCTGGCTGCAAAACTGGCTGTGTGATGAAGTCGATATTACACAGGGATGCCGGAAGCAGGGAAAGCTTTTTAACAATCTCACGTGCAAAGCACACTGTAGAAACGAAATGGGTTTTGCTCTTAGAACCCAGAACAGTCACAAAAAGATGACTCCTAAGGTAAATCTCATGCCCATAGTTGCAGATCGTGTCTGGGGAAACCATACGCCAGTGGCTGCATTTCAGGAGGTACTGCACGATCACCCACATTAGCTGTGGGTGCTCAACACCCCTGGAAAACAAACACTGGGGTCTATCACGTTAATTTGAAAAATGCTCAGTAAATACAAGGTATTAACGCTTTGGCACACTGAAGGGACTGAAGCGTTAACAGTCACTTAACGCTCTACATTTTGTATCATGGGACATGAAACTGATCTGTGATGTGAGCATGTTTCTCTCAGAGCCTTTCCAGATTACATTTTATGCAGCTAAAGGCATCTGAGAGAACATCTAGGCCTGAAAGAGTCAATACAGAAAGAAGCAGCTTAATCCTACACAAAGATGAATTATTAGCATTCAGAACCAACCGCTAAGAGAAAACCTTTTACTGCTGGTGAAAAACACCTTGTCATGCTGTCTGTACCCAAGCTGATGGACAAGTCACACCTACTCAGGATTACTGCCCAGAAAACTGGAGGTTCAATGCAACTTATCTAATGCCATGATTTGCATATTCAATAAATGTAAAATACCTAATTTGCATTCTCATTACATCATTTCCATCGTATTAGCTGCTCTGCTACAGTGATGGAATAAATAACTGCACTCGCTAATGAATGACAGAGGAGGGGCAGGCACGGGGCAGCACAGGGGAAGGGGATGCTGGCTCAGAAGCGGCCCAGAAGTGCTGAGATAGCTCTACTGACATTACAGCTGCCACCTCTGGCAGGAGCCTGAGGTTCCTGTTTCCCTCAGGATCAGGTTCTGTCCCTTAGGGATGGTCTTTGATCCACTGGCTCAAGATCTCCAACAGCTAGAGCCACTGAGCTGGCTGGGGCTCTGCCCCCCATTGCAAAAGCCACAAGCGCAGAAAGGACCAGCTGTGTGCTCCATGCCCATCATGCCCCGCAGTATCTATGCTCTGAGGTCTGACAGCAGCGGGGACAACGAGGTGTGCTTGGAGTCACTACCCTCTTCCTGCTCAAGTCAAATCACAGAATCCCAGGGCGGGCAGAGGCCTCAGGAGTCATCGAGTCCAGCCCCCTGCCCGAAGCAGGACCAGCCCCAACTGGGACTTAACCTTTAGGGATGGAGATTTCCCCCCCCTCCCCCAGGGAAATAGTTTTTCTTAGTGTCCAACCTAGACCTCCCCCACTGCTACGCGGGATCTTTGCTGCTTGTTCTCCCATCTACCACCACTGAGAACAGCCTCTCTCCCTCCTCTTTGGAACCCCCTTCAGGGAGTTGCAGGCTGCTCTCAAATCCCCCCTCACTCTGCAGAAGAGCAGACTAAACAGACCCAAGTCCCTCAGCCTCTCCTCGTAGGTCAAGCGCTCCAGCCCCCTAATCATTTTGGTTGCCTCCGCTGGACCCTCTCCAATGCGGCCACATCCTTTTTGTAGTGGGGGGCCCAGAACTGAACACAACACTCCAGATGTGGCCTCACCAGAGCTGAAAGTGCTTGTTTCCCCAGGAGACTGGGGCTCCTGAACAGGGACCCATTAAAAAAAATCATAAAAACAAAGCGCATTTCCCGGGGAAACAGGAAGCATTATGGGCGGGGACAAGAGGAATCGGCCTGAATGATTCCTTGGAGAATTACCGAGCTCCACGGTGGTGGTCTAGGGCTGCTCTACAAACTAAACTTGCACCGGTTAGTTACACTGGGGGGAGGGGGGGGAGGGGCAGCTCTTACTTCAGAATAAAAGCGTCTCACTTCAGTTCAACTAAATCCTGTTCCCAATCAGTGTATGTTACCTGACAACAGCTCTCCTACAGCAGAAATAAGGGCGTTCACACAGGGGTTTGCACTGGACGAAGTTCAATCTTTCGGTTAGAACGTGCCATGCCTCACAGGTAAAAATCCCTAACTATGTGCAGATTTTAACCTCTTACTTCAGAATAAAAGCGTCTCACTTCAGTTCAACTAAATCCTGTTCCCAATCAGTGTATGTTACCTGACAACAGCTCTCCTACAGCAGAAATAAGGGCGTTCACACAGGGGTTTGCACTGGACGAAGTTCAATCTTTCGGTTAGAACGTGCCATGCCTCACAGGTAAAAATCCCTAACTATGTGCAGATTTTAACAGTCCCAAATCCACATGCCATAGGGATTATTTTGGGCAAGTTCTCTGGCCTGTGTTGCACAGGAGACCAGTCTAAATGATCACAACGGTTCCTTCTGGCCTGGAGCTGGGAAGCGGATTATGAAGTAGCACATTACCTGTGGCTTGGTAAAATCCATGTCCATACACCACTGAATAAAATACTTTGTTGCAGCATCTAAACTCTTCTCATCCTTTTTTTTGCAATAAACCCGGATAAGCTGCTCTGCAAATGTTTCTGGCAGAAGCCTTGAAACCTTTTGAATGGAGGAAAAGAAATTGAACTGTTTCTTGGAACCCAGAGCCAACTGACCAATGAATGTAAGTAGAAAAAATTAAGTTTACATTACACAACATTGGGAGTCCCACAAAGTGCATTTAACTGGAAAAAAAATAGTCTGATGAGAACAAGGAATGGGTTTTAAGGCAGACTGTGTTAAATACCAAGACTCCAGACTGTGGAGTCTCCCACCCTCCTCTCCACATAATTGCAAAGAAATGCTTCCCCAACCTGTTATATGAAAGGCCTTCAAAAGCCAGCCAGGTATGTTGGTATCCTGCCTGGCAAAGCAATAGCTACCTGTTCTTTCGAAATCTTGACTGCCTGGCTCGGGTCAGACTTGCAATAGAAGCGAACTTTATCAATAGGGTTCTGTTCTTTCATTCCATAATCCATATTGATAACCTTGATGGAGACAATTCAGAAATGGACACAGATGAACAAATACCTATTTTGGGTAGTTTTCTAGACTTGAGATCACCAAGAATCTAACAAGACACACACTATAATTAGTAGTTAAGAAACAGCAGGGATTATTCAAAATCTCTAGATTAACTGAAAGAGTTCATCTTTTTGCATACAGACTGTCTCAATTATTTTATGAAATTAGGTTCCCTGATGTGATGAGCTTCAAGAATTTTGTGAAGTATCACCTTAATGTGATCTGCAATTAGCCAACGAGGCGCCCAGCAAACAGAGTTGAGGGAAATTGCAAGTGATTTACAGATTACCTTTCAGATCTGTTTGGGGCTTCTGAACAGGAACCCATAAAAAAACCCACAAGCGAGATTCTCCTGGGGAAACAGGAAGTGTTACAGGCCAAGAGAAGCCGGGGAAGCCTTTTACATTTTTAATTTTGTCTTAATATCTTGACAGTGCTGCCCTCTATCCAAGATGTATAATGTTCCTATTTGCTTTCCAGAATATCTGAATTAAGAAAACACAGACTGTTTTCAGGTGGAGGGGAATAGAGCAGGCAAGAGAAGATAGACTTTCCTTACTGAAATTGATTTGCTTTCAGAGAAGCATTTCCTTTTTCCAGTGACTCGGATGTAAATGAAGGCATGCTTTGAGGACAATGGGGTTACATCAGTATGCCAGAGGGCAGCAACTGGTTTACAGAACCTTTAGTACTAGTGGGGATGCACAGAACAGGAAGACACTGGTTGATTTCAGCTCTCAGAGCTAGTTTGGAGCGCTGGCCATTACATTTGTGTGCAGGCACAGTACAGAGTATGGAGAAACAAATGTTAAACCCTAATGGGTTTTTTTTAAGCAAGTGAACTTTTCCAAGTAGAGCAGCTCTGAAAAGGTCTCGATCAAGGTCACGCTGTCTGTGTGCAGGGATAATGGCTTATAGGAAGACATATTCCAGTCACAAAGGTGTGGCTGAACACAGCATAACTCAAGGAATAAGGAATGCTTCAGTCTCTTTCTACTGGAGGGTGTAACACTTCAGTTGCATTGTCTGTGATAATTGTAGATAGCTATCCATTTTCAAGGTCTAAATATTCCAGGAGAAAAAACTGTTCCCCTCAAGTCCAAGCCTACCACCAACATGGGGCTTAATGTACCATGAGAACATGAGCAATAATGAGACTGCTGTCAGAGGAGGCTGATTCTTGACATTAAAAGTGACCTACAAAGGTTTTTGCATTTCATGGCACTCAAGTTAGCATGCCCGTTTTCAAGAACTCTTAATTTTATTTCTATAAGTATGTGGTGTGTGTATTTTAACATTATAAAAAGTCAACTACAATTAAAAACTAATTAAATAATCATTTAAATGATTAACAATCATTTAATACATATTTATTTTATTTTTACAGTTTTTTCTGTTTTTTTATTCCCTCTTGAAGTTTGTCTTTGGACACATTCCTGTGCTCTCAGCAACTCCTGTCATTTTGTTTTCTGTCATAGAACACTAGAACCGGAAGGGGCCTTGAGAGATCAGGTCCAGTCTCCTGCCCCCATGGCAGGATCAAGCACCATCTCTAGACCATCCCTGACAGGTGTCTGTCCAACCTGCTCTTAAATATCTCCAGAGATGGAGATTCTACAACCTCCCTGGGCAATTTATTCCAGTGTTTGACCACCCTGACAGTTGGGAAGTTTTTCCTAATGTCCAACCAAAACCTCCCTTGCTGCAGTTTAAGCCCGTTGCTTCTTGTCCTGTCCTCAGAGGCCAAGGAGAACAATTTTTCCTCCCTCCTCCTTGTCACACTGCTTCCCCTTTATTTCCCCCACTTCAGCACACTGCTCCATTCCACCTACTCTCTACTCCTCCTAAGGCCACCACCTCACCTTATATATGAGGGTTCAGGGTCCAGACACCTAATTAGTGGAGCCACGCCTGCAAGACACTAAATAGGTGAGTGGCCCAATGTTCATTCTCTCATGCGCATCTACTCACATGTACACCTAAGAGGGAACTATTCAGGGAGCACAGTTTGAGAACCTCTGTTCTGTGTTTTAGTGTCCCTCCCCTCCAAGGAGCAACCAACTTGCCCTGAGCGACACCTTGTGTTTGCATGAACTATTCCTGAGAAACAAGACATGCATCACTGGCAATCCAGATCCACACACACCAGGCAATAGGGAAAAGCAGCAGGTACTGGTTTCTGCCAGGTCCGGAAGAGGTAACTTTGTCATACCCATAATTTCTCACTGTATAACTTAAATCCATTATGACTTCTGAAATGCCTTCTGGATGAAAGACACTAGAGAAAAAAAAAATCACCAAAAAAGTCTACCACTGTGGTGGGGAAGTCTGCCAGCAATGGAACCACAAAAAGCTCCTCAATGCTTTCCTAACATTACTCCTCCATTGCCACAGGGATGTTACGTGGTGACGAACCGAAGAGGGAAATGGTCCATGGAAGCCCTAGGAAGGGAGGTGTGCACAAGGCAGTCTTAACATATAATCCACAGTATGAAAATGTTTGCAAACCATAATACAGGGAAACTGCTAGACCCTAAATAGCAACTGTATGCATTAAAGAGGGATGGGAACACACTGAGGGTTACCTTGTACCTTACAATGTCCCTGCACTGTACAGTTACAGTTCAAATAGGACAAATCAGTTTCTTATTTTGAATATAAAGTGTGCTCAGCTTTATCTGCAAACTTTTACATGGGACACTTGGAGCATTTCTTTTACACTAAGCTTGCTCAGGAAGGACACACTTACATCAACTATAAAGTCTGCAGCATACAACTCAACATCCTGAGGCGCGTTCCTTGGCCTGGAAGCAACAATGTCAGCTGGCAGCCTGTCATACTGCTCCTGAAAGACAGAAAACTTGCAGTTCTAGCCAAGCACAACCAGTTCCAGACTTGTGCAACTGAACCCACGTCTATAGGGAGAAGGCTGCCATGCATCCAGGCTGGTTGAGAGAAGGGTAGATTACTTTAAAAACCAGCTTTGATGTAAATAATTCACCTTTCAAAAGAAAAGTTCAAGTGAAGGAGATTTCCATCTGCGTTAACAGAGCATGACTGCGACTGAAGACTGTTCGCATGACCAGGTGAAGCTATACAGAAAGTGTCTCAGCAGAGGGACTAAAACCTGCATGCAAGACTAACTTTGAGGGACAAACATGTTCCATGATAACCATGACATTGGCCAGACACACACTACCATGCTGCTGGTTTTAGATGGTCCCATAGAGAGTAACAAAAATCTCTGGTGACTAGGGTAATCTACTGGCCCTCAAACAGAAGGAAACTGACCTCCAGGGTGTGCCTTTAAGCACATTAGCCAGTTTCCCATTAAATAAGGCAACTTCCTCAACTGGTTCTACACAGACAGACCAGACAGTTCTTGCAGAGTTTGTTTGCAATGTCGACAACGGATGCAAGTATTTTGTCACTGCTGGAAATCCACCTGTTTCTGCTGCTATCAGAGCGTCACCACAGTTTGTCACCAGCATTGAACATTAGACCACACAGACCCCTGCTGCTTGTGCTCATGGAGTAACTGAAAACTGTAGCAGTACTGAATGCTAACTCAGCCATACCACTTTAAAAAAAAAACCAAAGCCACTCTGAGGAAGACTTGGAGCCAAAATTGCACCAGATTCTGGTGAACCCTGGTGAACAATGTTACTGTTCCCTTGTATTCAAATGGTGTTGGTTTTCATGCCAAAGTGAAGTCTTTTGACATGGCATTCCCTATGTTTTTGCAGGGCGCATGTTATCTGAAATAAAAGTATCCCAAAAAGTCCTCAGCACAGCAGAGGATCTTTTTTTTATCAAAAAGCACGTATCCTTCCCCTTGGATTCCTCCATGTAGTAGTCCTTCATACACTTAATGGCTGAGCTTTGAAGAAGACCGGCAATTCACAACTGGTCCAAGCAATTTTAAGAGTTACAGTCAGACAGACAAATTAGCAGACTAATTAGAATTGCATATTTAAGAGAGAGAGCAGAGTTTGGAGTCCTCTATCAATAGAGATTGGATTAAGAATGCTGCTTACCTCTGTAATTTCTTTTCCTGGTTCAGTCCGAGTCTCTCCTAAATACTTGTAAAGATCACGTAGTTCTATTTTACGCAAAATTTCTCGTGCCTCAGCCAGCTCTTTATTACTCGAGTACAGAATCTCCAGAAAGATGTTATCTGTCAAAGTTAAATACATTTCCTTTACATAGCCAAGTACCAATTGTTGCAGCACAGATAAACTGTGCACCTATGCACAGATCTCTGCAGAAAATCTAGCCCACGTGCCAAGAAATGGAAACACCATTTTCAACGAACTACCCAGCACGCTAACCCAACAATTTCAAAGTTAGTTCCAGAATAGCGTGGGCTGCCACAGGCTTTGCACAGTGCCATAATATCAACGTGGAAGCAGAGGTTTGCTGACCTCCCACCTTAAGGACAAAGTTGAACAGCTTCAGAGTTACCCACCCTCTTTCACTGCAGATCTTCGCACATGCCAGTCCTCAAGCATTACAGAACACAACGCTATTTTCCCAAGTAAAGCATGGAAAGTGCTACATGTTACAGGGAGCCAACTAACTTAGACCAAGTGGTATTATCAAAAAAAAGCAAATATGATTTTAGGTTGTATCAACAGGTGTGTTGTAAGCAAAACTCGTGAAGTCATTCTGCCGCTCTACTCTGCACTAGTTAGGCCTCAGCTGGAGTACTGTGTCCAGTTCTGGGCGCCACATTTCAAGAAAGATGTGGAGAAATTGGAAAGGGTACAGAGAAGAGCGACAAGAATGATTAAAGGTTTAGAGAACATGACCTATGAAGCCAGGCTTCATGAACTGGGCTTGTTTAGTTTGGAAAAAAGAAGATTAAGGGGGGACATGATAGAGGTTTTCAAATATCTAAAAGGGTGTCACAAGGAGGAAGGAGAAAATTTGTTCCTCTTGGTTTCTGAGGACAGGACAAGGAGTAATGGGCTTAAAGTGCAGCAGGGGAGGTTGAGATTGGACATTAGGAAAAAATTCCTAACTGTCAGGGTGGTCAAATATTGGAATAAATTGCCAAGGGAGGTGGTGGAATCTCCCTCTCTGGAGATATTTAAGAACAGGTTAGATAGACATCTGTCAGGGATGGTGTAGACGGAGCTTGGTCCTGCCTTGAGGGCGGGGGGCTGGACTCGATGACCTCTCGAGGTCCCTTCCAGTCCTATTATTCTATGATTCTATGATCATGTATGCAGATGCAATGCCTAGGATTATGGATGCTGGCAACTAAAGGCCATTTCCCACCCTCCCCACACAGCAAGCTGCACTAGTGCAAACAGTAACCAGAATATT